CAGCCTTTGCGATTAGAAAATCTAGTTCTATCACATCGCAATAATTTCGCAAATGTAATTAATTGTTCAGCCCTAGTGTACATGTGTCATATGTGGTGAAGAGACGGAGCCCCAGCTTCGCGGCTATTGTGCCGACTTGTTCGCACCTCGCAGGACTTTCTGATCATTTATCACCATTGATGAACCACACAAAGAATATTATATAGTTTTTAGACAGTAGCCTACTTGAAACAGACCCACGAGGAAATGCGACTTGCATGCAGTTGTTGGCTGCACGGCAAAGCACGGACGCAAAACTCGTTCCTTAAAAGTACAGCCAGTGGTTTACCTGAGACATGGTGATTCCACACTGTTTGGCGAGTTCCTCTTTGGCTTCTTCACTGGGGTAAGGGTTAGACAAGTGGGAGTAGAAATACTCATTCAGGACCTCTGTGGCCTGTTTGCTGAAGTTGCGCCTTTTGCGCCTGATGAGACACAAAAAGGTGACAAGTACTTTATTAATTAAATTTTACACACAATAACCATTGCCATTCCTCACACATACAGGTCTAAATGGCTACTAAGTTAGTCAAATATGCTCCTCTAAAGTTAGTTTGCGTTCTAACATGAAATGTGTATAAAAAGGTTCAAATTGACATGAAATGTCAGAATGTGTTTTCTGAACAATTTCAACAAGGGGCATCAATATAGCAATGTGCTGCACATCACTGCTATTAGCCCAGAGCAATTATATTCACTCTCATTTGTCAAATTCGGAAATATATTGTTTTGGTTTTTTTTAAATGACCCTCTGTACATTTTGACATATTTGTCAGTTTTTATGAGTATGTAATTTTTGCATTGATGAGTATTGATTTACTATTGGAAACTATAACTGCTAACAATCTATGCTGACTACAGCTACTGTCCTCTAAATTGAGGTGGGGTTGCAACCTTTGTGATGTTTTAGAGCCACAATGCAAGCCTACAGGTATGATAACTTGATACACAAAAGATTTATTCATATGGCTCTCAGTGCAATATTCCTTTTTGAAAACAACAACAACAACATGCCTACCTCGCATCAAGGAAACGGGACCTCAGGATCATGACTGCCTCACAAGTGCTCTGCTTCAGCTGGGTCTGGATCGTGCTGAACTTGCGGTGGATGATGCCCACCATGCGCTCAATCTCCCGTGGAGTCACGGGCCGTGTACGGGACTGCTCCCTCAGCAGGTTCATCACATGTGTGGTGAACTCAGTGCATGCCTGGGTAGGGGAGACGGGCAGCCAGTGAAGGACAGAAATGTGCAAAGCACTAATGCGAGGTGTATTATTTCATGTGGGTTGAATTTTAGGACATGGCATTCAAAAAAAAAAGTTCTGTAGAGAAGAAAATGTCACATCACAATAAAACATTGAATATTCCTGTTTTTGTTAGTAAGCATGTATAATCAGGTAAAAGCATAATTACTAACAGGTATTGCATTATAACTTTATACAAATTTAATGTAGCGGGTTGATTTATATATTACATGTGCAGCAAGTTGAACAGGCCACTTTTTTAGGTTTTAATTCATGTTGCAGAAATAATTTGTTATATGTTGCTGAAAAGAAGGGTATCTTTACAATGGTGGATTTTCCAACAGGTTCGAATGGTGTTTTGAATAACAGCATACAATAGGGCTTTAGTGGAGGTTGGAATATGTGTTGCTAAAATCATTTTAAAATACCTCTTCTCATACAGAGATATGGAGTGTATACTTAGTGTTTTTTGATCAGCAACATAAGGACAGAAGTGTATTCCTCGGCAAAGAAAAGTTATGTGACTGAACTCTAGACCTAACATGCCAATGGATTACGCTTCTGGCGAGCAGCTTTAGTACAGGCAAGCGTGTACGGGCAATGTCAGCGCTCGTCTCCTGTTGCGACACGGTACCTGCTCATACTTCTCCAGCTCAGTGTGGTAGATACTGCGAATCTGGCTCAACTTGCTTTTGTAGTCGGAGTGCTCAAGCGAGCTGTCAGGCGACATCCCTCCTGAGCTGGTGGCAGCAGACACAGCAGCAGCAGCCCCTCCACCCTTCTCTGGCCCCGCCACACCCTCCGCCAGCAGCATGTTGTCCAAACGCACCAGCTGAGGATCCTGAGGCTCTTCCTCCTGGGCGTTCCTCATTGAGAGGCCTGTCAACAAGACAAATCAGAATCAGAACTACTTTATTGATCCCCGAGGGGAAATTCTGTCACAGTCGCACACAACGCACAAAAGGCAAAAGCAATATAAATAAAGATAGTGGTATACACAGAAATATAAATATCAGAGTAAAAAATATAAAATATTATAAATATTATATTGTTTTTGTGGGATAAATACCAACAGAGAAAGTAAATGTGATGAGGTACAGTCACATTACACTCCTATCCTGCGAATCTTCCACCTGTCATTTACTTCAACTGAAGCCTGTCCTGTTTTGGTGCAACTCATTGGTCAAAGCTGACTTTTGTTAAGTCTGCCAATAGAAACACTGATGCACTGTGTTCTGAGGTGGACAAGTCATTACTCTGTGAGCCACCACATTGTTTTGTGCATCACTTTTATACTGTTTAGTTTGTGATCACTTAGTTAAATTTTTATTTATTACTCACATCAGAACATTCTTATTCGGAGCACAGTGCAGGTAGTTTCACAGGACTGAAAGCAAATGTCATCATAACTTTTAATAGTGTATTGAGGGAATCAGCTTTTACATGTATGTCTTGCTTTGAGCAATAGAATAAAATAAAATGATGGTTTAAAGTATTAATGAAAATATCCCACAACACGTTGTTTTTCTGAAACAAACTGTTGCAAGGAGTAAACTGTGCTTAACTCTTGTCCTGCACAGTTATCAATCTAACCAGCAACATGTATTGTACTGCCCTGTAGGAATTGTATGTGTGTTTGCCCAGCTGCTGTCATTTGTCTCTATTTTTATACCAAATAGCATTTTTACATAATAGCTGTGTAATTAATTATCTTCATGTAGTTTTTTTTTTTTTCACATTGCAGGTATTCATACTGAGTTAGTGAACAGCAGAGTCAAATTAATGTTATGTTTGTGTATACTTGTTTATGATGTTATTGGCTTCTGGTGACACACTGTCAACACAAGTCTAATACCGCTGCAATAATCCAATAATTCACTACACATCAAAATTCAACAAGGCGGGTTTAAAATGAAATTCATGGTTGCTAATACTGACAACATCGAAACACACACTAAATAACGTTACCAGTTTTTTCCTTTATCTCGCACAGGACGCTGAATAATGCAGGTTTCATTCGGTGACAGTTGAGCGCATGTTTCCTGTGGATACAGAAAAGAGCGTGACTTGTAGCTAGCATAACATGCTAGCTGTAAGCAAAGGCAGAGTGACTACTTGCAAATTTACCAAAACAAAGACACAAATGAAGTGACTGACTAACCTTTTCCACGGCTAAATTAGCAAACGTTAGCTTCTAAGTAGCTACGAGCTAAAGGGGCAGCTGTTCACTTGTAACGTTACGCTGTTTGTAAACTAAGTTCGGTCATATGCTCATTTGTTTATCATACAGTTAGGTCTTAACGCACAGGAAAATATTGCTTAAACGTTTAGTTGCATTAGCTGTACGTGTTACCTTCCAATTTTAGCCGTAGCTAGTTAGCCTTGGTTAACCCAGCCTAGCAAGCTAACAATGGCAAACACTACGTTTCAGACCAAGGCTGCTAAAACAAATACATGTTTGTAAATGACAGCAAATAAACAATAAGATTGAGCTAACGTAACAGCAAATGGATACGAACATGTTACAACATAATCAACTTTGTTTTCGTTAGCTTACGTTATGTAATTAGTCAGCTACTTGCTAAATAACCTAAACAATAGATGGAAGTTCAGGAAACTTTGCCACTGCGAGTCGGGGTCGACAAAGCGGCTAACCAGAAAGCAACTGCAGCGTCAATAACCCCAAAAAATAAACTTATCACTAACTTTGCTTGTGCCTCGTCCAAACTTTGATCGGTGATGGTCATTATTTGCTGCAGTATATCACCAATGTCTCTGCGGGGTTCGTGTCCGTTTTCTGTGCCCTCGAGGCCAGAGTCCCCTCCGTCGGACCGATGCTGGGAAGCTTGATGGGCCGAGTTAAGGGCATGCATCCCGGGGTGGCCACTCATGCCGAGTCCCCGGCCGTTGGCAGGCCCGTTGCCAGTCAGAGGCTGCTGCTGCAACATTTTCAGCGACGCACAGTGGCGACGACTGCTGCCCAACTGTGCTCACAGGCTTACAGCACAGCCTGAGCCAATGCATCGCAGAAAGCAGGGTCCCCTAGCGATTGACAGGAAAATTTTCAAGCCAACAATGCTGGGTAATTTCTAACCACAAGAACAAAACATGTTCAACCCCTGCATTTTTAAATAGCAGATAGATGTGTGTGTGTGTGTGTGTGTGTGTGTGTGTGTGTGTGTGTGTGTGTGTGTGTGTGTGTGTGTGTGTAACAAATAAGATCTAACTAAATAAAATTGAGTTTATGTGCTGTAGTGCCGTCCTACAGTGCTAAGCCTATTTATTTACAAGAGTCAACAGAGACCTTCAGATTAAAGTAGCTTCTTTTTAATTTCTGTGGTTTAGCGTGATAATCTCACTCAGACAACTTCTCTCACTTGTCTAACTCCACTTCTCGTTTTAGCAGCAAGTCAACAGGATGTGTGCCAAAACCACAACAGAGTGAGAAGAACTGTGTGCCTGTTTCAACATGTTGCAGTTGGGTCTGTCATAATCAAATGAGCAGCAGTTAAGGCAGCAGCTACTTACAGCTGCTCTGACAGCTTTAAGTTTATCTTCATTTATAAATAACCTTTGAATCGGACCATACCTATATGTACTAAGCCTAACCAAATGCATAAACTGTCTTCTGCTTTTGACAGTAATATTTCTAAATGACATGACTTGTGGGCCAAATAAATAGGGGTGGGCTGTGGTAAGAGGAACAGGAAGAGAGGAGAGGAGAGAGAAGGTAGCAAGGCAGACAGAACGGGTGAGAGCGTGTCACGTCGACATGTGAAACTCTTTTAGCCTTTTTTTTTCCTTCATAAAGATATTGAAAAGCCAAAAATGCTGTGCTCCATACGTGGCAACTTCAAGAGATGATGCTTTGAAGACATAAAGTTTAAAACACAAAGGTAAGGATTTTTTATTTACTGTATGGTACACAAAGGTACCTTTGGTGGCATAACAAGAGATCTGTCAACAAGAATTACAGTGAAACGCAAAATATACAACAGAAGTCATCAGTCAGCAACAAGAAGGTGTTATCTCCTCTGAACATGTTGTCACACACCTTTGTTGTCACACAGCTGACAGCAATATGACTTAACTGTTAGATTTCCACCTTAAACATAATGTAGCCAAAATGCTAGAACCTGTCAAACTGGTTTCACATGTGTTTCTCTGCAAGCAAAAGACACAGCTGCTCTGTAGCAGTCCTCGTGTCTATTTCAAGTAACTTCAGGGTTGATATGTGTGTTGTTTGCTGAGTATTTTTCTCAGAAGTGTTAAGAATGGGGTCATCAAAGTTTTTGACCTAACCCCTGTTGGTTCTTGTCAGGGTTTTGACATCAAGATTAATGGACTGCGCTGAGATCCAAGTTGAAATGGCTGAAGAGGGTCTGATAGAGCGTCTCGTCATCACCGAAGAGGGAGACATAACTGAGGGTGTCATTGAAAGAGGGGCAGTGGACTGTTCAGTTGTCATCGCACAGAGCTGCAGAGGAGAGTCAGCTCTGAAAAAGGAAGAGGAACATACAGCAGAGAACAAAAATAAAGAAGACGTAGCGAGTAACATGTGTTTAGAAGAGCAGAGCCTGGCAAAAAAACAAACCAACACAGAGGACGACCAGACAGTAGAGGTTGTTGCGAACGTAAAGGACAAACAAGATGGTAAACAAGAGGAAACTGAGAACATGAATGATAGACAAAGTGAGAGTGAGGGGCAGACACATGAGAGAATGAGGAATAATGAAAAACCTGAGAAACCCAGTGACATAGAGGATAAAAAGTTTTCACAAAATAACCCTCAAGCGGACTTTAAGAGGTCAGATTCCTCTGAGCAACAACCTGAAGGAACAAAAAGCCAAGAAGAGGATCCAAAAAAGGTTTGTGCTGCTGTTATTTTACTTTGGCATATAATTTGAGATTACCAGTATAGTAACACAGCAGGTCATTCAGTGAACAAAGTAATGTAATGTAAAGTAGTGTAATGTTCTTGACTTTACCAACCACCCGCCATTTACTCTACAAGAAAAGTAGTCTCACAGTGGAAAACCAGCAGGTATCATTTTGTTACAGCATGTGTGGCAGTACGTAGGAGTCGAGCGAATTCTTTTGCTGTGCCAACAAACAGGCTGTGGTCTTACTGAGAAAACCTTTCCTCCCTGCCTCCCTTTTTTCTGACACCTACCTACCTTTTCTCAGGCTCATCGTTTAACCCCTGACTTCCCGGAAGCACTGTACGAGCTGGTCTGCACCCTTCAGGAGGGGAGACGGCTCAATGACCAGCGCTGCTCCTTCAGGCTGGAGAGGGGGATGAGGAGGCGCAGGTGCCATTCTGAGCCCAACACCACCAAACCAGCCAACAGAGGTGGGAGCGCTTTGAGAAGCTGTACTCTGGTTTCAGTGTTTAAGTGATGAAAGTGACGCAGCTGCTGCATTTGTTTCCATGTAGTGATGCTGACTCATGTGGATCAAGATGAAATAACATGAAACTACCTGTGACTCAAGAATGTTTTGAAACCTGTGCAACTTACATGTTTCTATGTCTTTCCTTGACCACTTAACATGTCCTGTAATCTGACCTTCATAGCTCTTAAATTCTCATTTCTCCTCAGTCGTCTTTTCCTCCATGACTTCACTGCAGAAAGAGGAGTTTTTTGAACTGGTGGCCACCTCTCAAGCTCGTCGACTGGATGACCAGAGGGCGCAGCTCGAAAGGTCTCAACCCACAAAACCAAAAGGCAGAAGTTTCAGAGGCAGCATAAAGCAACTCTCTTTTGTGAAAAGGCCTGCGCCAGTTCCTGTACCCGTGCCTGTGCCTGTGCCCAAAGAGGATCTGTACAATATGATCCTCACGACACAAGTAAGCAATCTGAACTAGTTGATTAGATTATTGATTGTTAATTATTTATCATGACATGAGGTGTCATCAGCTATGTTTCTTAGAAGCAAAGCCTCAGTGTCTTGCCAACTTAAGTGGAGAATTATTTGACATAATTTGAGTCATTCATTTACCCACTTACCTCCAACTCACAGGCCCAGGGCAGGCTGGAGGACCAGCGCAGCAGGGCTCCTGGTCCCATGGATGATGATGATTTCTTCTCCCTGCTCCTGAGGGTCCAGGGAGGACGCATGGATGAGCAGAGGACTGAATTACCGTGCATGCTCCAAACCTGAGATGGAAAACAAAAAACTGCTACAGTGGGAACCATCCAGTACTGTAGCTTTTTTAGTCTGATTTCCTGGTAAAACAGGGTTTTTTGTTGACTTTGATGAAGCTTTGTTTTTGAGAATTGCTATCTCTTGATAGTCACTGTTAAAGCTGATGAGATTGTAGCAGAAATGCTAATGTTTCTGGCTTTTAATGTGACTCAAGGCACGTTTCTTATGAAATCGTGAAGTTTACTGCTAGTTAGGTACTGTTTTTCTTTCCTAGTAAATAGGATCAGTAGATATGCTTCCTTATTTTACCAAATTTTCAGTTTTTATTGAGTGTCTGCGATGTGGTTGAATGATTTTGTGTGTGTTCCAGTTGTTAATGTGGAGGAAGCAGTCGACTCGTCTCTGTTGTTTCTCCTTATTTGTACAGTAGACATTAAACACATAATGAATGGTGGTGAAGAGATAATAGCTCCAAGGCCACACAGTGCTTGACTATATATGGATAATTTCCCTCCAGAAAATAAAAAAAACGTGTATCTGAGGCATTTGCATTTTTTCAATTTGTCCAAAATCATGTCTTGCAGAGCTGTAACACATGCTCTAGTGAGGATATCATTAGTGCATGTGCATTCTTTCATTCTTTTGCATTTATTTTATTTTTGCAAACACACAGTAGCTTGTAACTGGAAGCATTTGAGCTGTGGTGCTCACAAGGAGGTGTAAAACCTGCTATTAATCATTAATCATTATTCCCTTGCTTGGTCACATTCCCACACACTTTTCTTGTCAAACTAATCTTTTTAAAACACCCCATTGCACATAAATCAAAACATTCACATAGAAAAAGACAAGGTAGTGATGTCACATTTAGGGAACAAATAAAGGAAAGATAAAGGTGTTCATTTTCACAGAATTAATGGACTGAATACGGGGTTTATCTCGAAGTTCCTGAATTTTGATTTACATACCGAGTAATTTTTATTGAAGGTCACATCACCCGTTAGTCAAAAGGGAGATTTACACATTTGTATATTTTAATGGATATTAATACTGATTAAATGACTCAATCAAAAAGGTTTGACATAAAGGGGGATGTGACTCAGGGGGTAGATTGGTTGTCCACTTATCAGAAGGTTGGTGGTTTGATCACCCGGCTCCATGCAAGTCTGCAGTTCCGTTCTGATGAGCAGTTGGCACCCTACCCTCTGTTATCAGTGTGTGAATGTGTGAGTGAATTTACATAAAAGCGCTTGAGTGTGGTTGGAAGAATAGAAAGGCACGAGTACAGACCATTTACCTTAAACATGCCATTAACTATGAAGTTCATTGTCAAGAACACTGCTTTACAGTGTTTGCTGCTAATGGAACATGGTAACTCATCTGAAGACTTAACATGTCATTAGCCTGAAGGTCCCTTAGAAACCTGTGACCTTTGGTGTATTTTTCATCCACTTAGTTAATAGAAAAGTTTTCTGAGGAAGTCCTAGTCGCCTCGGTCTGCTAAAGTAAAGCTTGAGGTGACAAGAGGATGCTGTGTCACTTCCTCAAAAAGAGGAATGTGATAGCAACGTTGATCATTACTGCTGGCTGAAATCTACATTAAAAAACATATTGTAAGCCAAACACAAAAAATATTGCCTCTGAATATATCTTTGTTGAATAATAAAAAAAATAAGAAAGATCAGTTAATTCATTAAAAAGTTAAAATTTCAGATGTAAGGTCCAATGTCAAAGATCATGATATATCTTCAGGTTCTTGTTGTTATTCTGTCACATTACCTGCTTTTCTCTGCCTCTGCTCCAAATCATCAAGTGATATAAAGATAGATAAACATTTCAAATGAAAAGAAGAGGAACAGAGGAGGACGAGAAGAAACACAATTTCACCAAAATTGAGAAAGAGTCCAACAGGAAGAAACAACAGCAGGCCGACTAACAGGATTCAACTTCCACTTTTGAGATGGAAATATGCAATACGTATTTATACTAGGGTTGGGTCAATATACTGGCAATGGCCTTCTTTCAGACACCAGATATTGACAAGGTCAACATGAGGTTGCCATTATAGGCCTATATCTCCCTGTGCCTCAAATTTATCAAATATTTGTAGATGTTGGATATTGATTGAATATAGCCTGTACTATATAACCTGCACCTGTAGATGAAATCAAGATTACAGATCAACTGAAGAGTTATATATATAAATATATGTATCTAAAAACATTATTTATCCTTTTTCTGAGCAGCCCCGCCCACCGTGTGACGTCACTGTCCATGGACAAGTCTCAACACTACTACAGAAGGATAAGACGGGAGTAAGGAAGTTACAGAATATTTCAGCTGATTTTAACTATATTTTTGTTAGTCACTGTGTTGTACATTTTATAATCGTATGTAAAAACTACTCCGCTTGTCTTTATTTTTATTGTATTTTTTATTTTTCCCACAAGAGATCTTTCGGTGTGGTCTTTGCACGGTTGCGTGAAGTCAGTGTCTTATCCTTCTCTTGTTGTCCCAGTCCTGAACAAGGATGTAGTCGAAGATGAAACTTGTTCAGAGGGAAGTATAGTCACCCCAGATATTCATGCTGAGAACAAAATAAGAATCTGTTGAGGACATACACGAGAAGTTCGCACGCTCAACCAGAGGTGGGTACAAATATTTAAATTACACTTAACTTGTTCTGTCAGTGACTTCACTTTCCCTTCATGGTTCTAACAGTTAGCATTAACTTAGCAACAAGCTCAACGGCTGTTATGACTTGCGTCCACTGTGATTTAACGTTATGTTGTCACTTGAAGTTAGTTAATGTAGAAGTTAGTTTTCAGATGAGATTAGCTGGTGGTTTTACCTCAGGATTTTAAGAACTTTTTTTAGCCTGCTGTAGATTTTACTTTCATGCACATTGTTGTTTCCTTAATTTTTCACTTATGTCACAAGATTCTGTTCCTGAATCCAGTGTTGAAAATGACAGCTGTTGAAAACGGAAGCCACAATAAAAATATTATAATAACAGCATATTGTCGTTTTTAATAATTTTTGTACGTTGCACACCGTTTAAGGCTGGACTAGTGGTGGAAGTAACTAAGTATAACTCACTCTCAAGGAACTTGTACTTTATTTTAGTATTTCCATTTTATTCTATGCTATACTCCTGCTTCACTATTTCAGAGGGACACACCATTTATTTCATAGCTTAAATTACTACGTAGCAGATTATCATTATTAATACAAACTATAGCCAACAAATTCATTTTATGTGTTATAGGTTCAGCTACCAAGTTAAAATTAGTCCCACCTTTACAAGCTGTAACGTGAAAGTGATAATAATTATAATCCAGTTATATAATATATTGTTCTGCAGTAAGTCATTCTGTATTACCTCCATACATTTTGCTGCTAGTATTTTTGTTCCTCTGCTTAAGTAAAATGTTGAATGAAAGAGTATTTCTGGACTGTTAGTATTGGTACTTTTCTTATACCTTTGAGCTATACCAGATGGTTTTACTCAATATATCATTATTCAGTTGAGTTTAAGCTTAACTGCATTTTCTGTTGTCAGTGGTGGAGAGGTTCTTTTAGTAAAAGTTGTAACAGCAGTTGTAACAACTACAAAGTGTTGAATATATATTTTTGTTCTACTTTACCTTCTACCTCTTCATACATTATAGTATGCACAGAAACCTCACCTCCCTTTGCACTTTTTAAGGGGTAGCTTCACATTCTTTCAAGTCCATCTTAAAACAATGGGAATATATACTGTATCACCGGTAATAATTAATATGTCTGTTTCTTGTTCTTAGATGCTTCTGTTCATATCCCTGCTGATCTTCTGTGTGCCACTAGGGGGAAACACCTCTCCAATCAGCTGTCACAATGACCAAGGAGATCCAGTTGATTGGTAATTCATTGATAGCAGTACTGGGGGAAAAAACAAGCTTTTAAAAAGAGTGCTAACTAGAAGGATGAAACACTAAATGTGAAAATCAGTATCAAGCCTTATACCTTTTCCAAACTTCCTCTCTCAGATGGACTTACTGTCTCATTCTCTGTGTTAGGTTCTATATGTACAAGCTGCCTAAAGAACATGGCACCAAATCTACGGAACAGGGTGAGATGTATTTACTACTGGAAAAAGGGAGTGAAGGATGGACTAATGGGAAGGGGACAGTGAACGACACCACGGGAGCTTTGGGAAGGACAGTTGGACAGCTGTACTCACAAGAAAAGGTCTGCTTCCATTTTTTCTGACAGTTGGAATCTATTTTTGTGTCCATCTATATGCGATTCACAGTTTCATTTCCTTATAATTCACATATTTAAATATATGTATGATTAATGTGAAATTTTTTTAATTTTCACTTTTTATTCGACATCGCTCGACAGTAAAGTTCTAAATGACTCTACATCTGATCTTCCTCTAAAACTAAGTCTTTATTCTAAAATTGAGAGTATTTGTTATATGTGTCAAAATCTACAGGGATAGGGTTTTAGTATTAACAGTACATGTCTTTGAACCCATTATAATATTAATATTTGTTAGTTAATACTTGTAGGATCTTCTAGACATCAGCAGATGTATTTTTTGCCTGCTTCTGCTTTTTTGCTGCGGTCCTAAGACTTCTCATTTTATAGACGTATTCATAATATGCAATGATATGCTTTTTTTGAAAGACGTGTTTCTGCTATAACCACTAGACATTAGTAGATCAGAATAAAACTGAGAATGAGAACTGAAATTTAACTGTTAACCTTGTAAATGCATTTGGTTTATTTCTCAAAACAGCTGTGGGAAAAGTCATCCAGAACATATGTTTGTGTACATCAACTAGGTCTAATCATTTTTATGCTGTTTTATTTGGATGTTCAGCTAAAGTGGATGTGTGCCTGTGTTTTTTGTGTTTGGTTTTTAATTTCAATAAATACATTCTCTCCTCTTCACAGAACACAGAGGTAGCGTACATCCTTTACAATGACCAGGCGCCACCTGTGGACTTTGGTGACAGATGGGTTGACAACAGTGGAAGCAGAAGGGGGCACACAAAAGGTGAACACCAGAGCAGTCCACCTCTCATTGCATAGGCCAGATAGGCTGCAAGAGATTTTACTTTATACTAAAAAATCAGTTAATATGGGCAAGTGCATCAGTGGCACACTTTGTAAGTTTAAAAAATAAATCATATTAAGAAATAAATGTGCATTGTTGAATTTATTTAGTTTTGATTTTCATATCGGCTCTAACCAACGGAAGAGAAAAACCTTGATATTTTTTGCTGACAATTCTTTGTTCCTCAGGTGTCGTGCTGCTGGATAAAAATCAGGGCTTCTGGTTGGTACACAGCACCCCTAACTTCCCCCCTGTACGACAGGAAGGAGAGTATTATTACCCCAGCACTGGTGTGCCAAACGGACAAAACTTTATCTGCGTTACCTACCCGCTCGAGCGCTTCCAGACCATCGGTAAGACTGGAGTCCTGCCATGTGTTCGTATAGCACAGGCAGAGCTGTAATAATAATAAAGATTCACACATTCTGTCTGCT